GACACATCTTTCTCCCACAGAGTGGCTAGTGGATTCAAACGGGTAACCTGTCAGTTAGGAGTCAGGCACTCAACCACTGTGCCACCAGAAGTGGTGCCAGCCATATTTTCAAAATAAAAAACAGCACATGCCGTTGTTTGGATAATTCTGTATTTTCTCCAGTAAAAATCTTTTAAGAGTCAATAGTTTCACCAACATGACAAAGGTAAATAAATTGATTAGAACAGTCTTCTTCATCCACCCTTCACATAGGAAATAGTAACTGTTGAAAACTAGTGTCAGATTCTTAAATCAGGACAGACACCCAGAGGAAGGCCATCATATTACATTCCCTTCTGAGTAGCTTTCAAAGCAAACAAACAGAACACAGAACTACAAATCAAGTAAACCCAGTCGAAACAGATGAAAGCAAGAGCCAAGCTTATTTCTAGTGAGGAAATGTTGGGAACACTCCATAAATCTCAAATTGGATTCATTCATCCCAGAGCATAATCTGCTCATACAAGGTAAATAATCGGGCAGAAATCATTCAAAAGAGACTTTTTTCTCTGCCCGCAGATGATCAAAGTCTTTACCATAGCATTCATACAGTTCTTTAACTTTTAAGTACTTCCAATTACCAACTAAAGCTGAAAGAACACCTGGGAAAGTACAAGTATTACTAACCTTCACACTGATTCATGGCTATAATGGAGAAAGGAAATAACAGTGATTAGAGCCTGGGGGCTTTGCATTAGGAAGGGAGGGTTGTATATTTGAAATAACAAAAGTTCACATAATTCTGAATGTGAGTTATTAAATTGGTCTTTTCAAGAACAATGACTCCTTTAACATATAGTAGGCAAGCTAAAAAATAAGTATCAGACACCTTCAAAATGCTTAGAAGCTATCAAAGGAAAAACAAGATTAGCAAAATTATTGAGCAGAAAAGGAACTCGTAATCACGTTACCGACTCCAACATTGTGTTCTGCAGCCCAGCAACAAAGATTACATGGCTTGTCCAAGTTTACAGAGCAAAGTCAAGAATAAAACAGAATTCTCCTGCCTCCTACTTCTTTTTCCACAATAAAACAATTACATGAAGAAGTATATGATTAACTTGAAATGAATAGTAGAAATCACTGGTCCCCAATTCTGGCAATCCATATTAGTTAGCTGCTTCGAAATCACTCGGAGAACCCACGCCCCAAACCCACTCCAGAAAGTGATTGTAGAGTCCTGAGTCCAGGAGTGGGAAATTTTATGTTCTGATCAAGAACCACGGATGATTGCCAGGTCTCTACGCCACCAGTAAGAATGAATAAAACCAAACCCACTGCCACTGAGTGGATTCTACAGGGCAGAGTAGAACGAGCAAGCTACTGGGCAGAATAGAACTAGAAAGGCCTCCATTAGAGCTTCCAAGGATGTAAGTAAGTATTTACAGGAGCAATTTTCTCCTTTGAGCAGGCTGTTAAGTTCAAACCATGGACCTTTTGGTTAGTAGCAGCCAAGCACTTTAACCACTACGCAACCAGGGTTCCTGGTGAGTAAGAACCAGCAGCAGGCAAAGCGAACGAGGCCAGGATCACGGCCTCCATATTTAAGAGAACCACATGGATCAAAAATTTCAATAGCACTAATGGTGGTGAAGAAACAGGTTTACAGCACATGCCTTAGATTGCTGGCCGCGCATGCTAGACAGCTGACGATGACTAAGTCCTTCAACCTGGATGTGGGGTTGAGGGTTCAGGAAAAAATTTAAATGCTATCATTAGACAGTAAGACAGGGTAGCAGGAAAGTATGTGGTCAGACCCCAACCCCAATTCCCCACCCCCATAGAGAAGCGGGTAGTTTCCATAAACTGCCATGGACGGCCAACAACAGAAGACATGCGATTTCCCAAGAAGAAGCTGAACACTGCCCCAAATCCAACACAGCAAGAGGGGCTAAGACCTCAAGAAACCTCAGAAAGCCTCCCACAGAAGAGCAAGTGAGGAGCAGCGCAGGCTGGCCTCCCCAGGCCCCTGTCACGGGAGGAGAATAATTTGTTTATATTGGCCAACTGCTGTTTGTTTATACTGCCAAAATTTTCATTATTAGTCCAGAAGTTTATTTATGGCCTAAATCTTAATTTTTATCATACTGTGAGTTCTTAGGCTATATGTTTGACAAGAAAGGTCTTTGTCGTATGCAACAGGGGCCTGACACTTTGCACTAAGAGTCATGCAGGCTAGTCTCAACTGAAGGGGCCCTGGTGATGCGGGGTGGAGGTTATGCACTGGACTGCTAAGCTCAAGAGCAGCAATTTGAAGCCAACAGCTGCTCCTCAGGAGGAAGATGAGGCTTTCTATTTGGATCCATAATCAATGCTCATAAAAGCAGTAGTCAAAGATCAAAGGCTGGGTTGCACTGGGTAAATCTGCTGTATAAGACCTCTTTCGAATATTGAAAAGCAGGGAGGTTCCTTTTTTGGACTCAGGTGTGCCTGACCCAAGTCATGGTATTTTCAATCACCTCATATGCAAGTGAAAGTTGAATACTGAAGACAGAAGACAAAAGAAGAATTGGTGTATTTGAATTAGAGTGCTGAAGAAGGATATTGAAATTAACATAGGCTGCCAAAAGAACAAATAAATCTGTCTTAGAAGAAGTGCAGCCAGAATGCTTTTTAGAGGCAAGGATGGTGAAAACTTTGTCTCGTGTATTGTAGACATGCTATCGGGAGAGAAGGACATCACATTTGGTAAAGAAGCAGCGAAAAAGACCCTGGACAAGCTGGATTGCTACACCAGCCGTACTGATGGACTCACACAGAAGCACAATTGTGAGGATGGTGCAGGACTGGGCAATGTTTCATTTATTGTACACTGGGTCACTATGAGAATCGACTGTACCGAACAACTTCGACTTCCTTAAAGAACACAGTCTCGGAAATCCACTGGGGCAGTTCTACCCTGTCCTATCAGGTCACGATGAGTCAGAACTGACTAGATGGATGGCTTCTCGAGTCTCGGTTGAAACTATCCCCGCCCTCACCCGGCCCTCACCCCTCCTCCCCTCTGTCCCCTGCCCCCAGCCCCACATTCAATAAGAACGCTCCGTGAGACTTGAGGGGGGAGGCAGGAGGAGCGTGCAGCTGTTTCATTCCCCCTGCTGAGAATGTGCCTTTCCACCCAGATGTATCCTGATCCTGATCGTGATCTACATTTTAACGACCCCAGGTGGTGTTTTTCCAGATCCTCAAGTGATCCCTATGGATCCTCTTGACCATGTTAAAGTGTAGATTCTGGTGGCGGTAAATCTGTGATGGAAATGCAAATTCTTGTTCAGGGTCAAACTGGAATTAACAGGCTGGAAGCCCTGCTAGAAAAGTGAGTTAATTCGTGAACAGGGTAGGGAACAGTGACTGCAGCTCAGGGACATGCTGGGGAGTTTCTGTTGTTGTTGCTGTGCGCTGTCAAGTAGACTCTGACTCACAGCAACTCCACAAGACGGAGTAGAACAGCCCCACACATGGTTTCAAGATTGTAATCTTTATGGTGGCACGCGTCACATTTCCTTAGGTGCAGTGGTTAGTGAGTTCAAACCACACCAGCCTTTTGCTTAACAAGTGTTTCACTGTCGTACCACCTGGGCTTTGGGTTTTTGTTGATATTTCGGGCTGGCGGGGGAATAGAAAGATATATGGCTAAACAAGATAAGTGAAATTCTATTGTTCTTATTCAACTGTACTTTTAAACCTTAGAAAGAAGCAGAGATCAGAGCCATTTACTGGTTTGTTTATTTGGGGGGGGGGGTGTTGCTGTTGTTGTTTTGCTGGGGTTTTTTACACACACACCCCTGATTTTGCTAAGCTAAATGCCTTATGCAAGGCCCTAGGGGAAAACTGTCAGATCCAGATTTAAAACCCCTTCAATCACTCCTACTCGCTGAGTCCTAACACGGCCACATGCCACCTCCTCATTATTTCTTCTGATAGCACTGTGCAATGCCGGAATGCCACCTCTATCTGAAATGCAGACCTTGGCTGCCGTGAAAAGGCTGCTGGAAATGGGCGGCCTAGCACAGTATCAAACTGTTCATAAGACGGCAGATTTAACAGCAACACTATGAAAAAGAAACACAAGCATGCTGACCTAGAAAAAGGTGAAATCTGAAACGCTGAAGCATACGTGGTCTAATTAAAAAGAAGGCAAACAAAAACAAGATTTTCTCTGACCTTGAAAAAAATAGGAATGTATTTATTTCACAGTTTAGATCGCTGAAGGTGGTTTTAGCCTTCCATAAAGTAACAAAAATGACCTACTGCGCCACCCACTCCCTCCTTGCAATTACTTTTAGGAAAGAGAAGGAATGGACAAGAAGGGGAGGGGGTGCCTTCGATGGAGGAAGTAAAACCTGAAATCTGATTCTCACACAGAAGAGGTTCCGGGATTCCTGTCCCAGAAAAGCTTCTCCTTTGGATTCTTTCCTTAGGAGGGGAAGCCCTGCCTAGTTAGCTCATTTTCCCTCTCATGATGGCCCAGATTGTCTCCAAAGTTAAAACCCCTTTACTAGCTCCTAACTAGTTCTTTTCACTGCACTTCAACCCTGTCACTCATTGGTGAACTGAACATAAAATTGGGGGAAAACATTTAACATCGGCTTCCTTCTAAATCCAAAGTATGGCTTGGTGCTAACAAGAGAGAAAGAAGGAGAGCTTTAAAGCATTTCTGTTTGGATCCTTTTCCGGGGCGTAGCATGATTGGGTTTGCTCACGTTTGTATGACATGTGCCTCCCATAAGCCTTGTTACGACGTCGACACGTTACCTGTCTGACATGGGAAAAAAATGTTTTTCCTTTAGTTAAAAAAGCATTTCCAAACTGAAAAGGAAAAAAGTATACCAGAAGCTTCCCAGTGTGACTGACAAAAGACACAGTATGTAGTGGGCGACACACACTAGCCTTGAGGGCACACACAATTTGCACAATCTGCAGACTGGAAGAGCCTCATGTGGTCGCACAAGTTATGCCAAACATATCTGCCGACTTTCCTGATCAGTCAGGAAGACTCCCTGCACTGTTAATGATCTTAAAACTATGGCCTGCTAAAGAGCAATAATGTGACGCCCCTTCACACACAGTGTGTGTGTGTGTGTGTGTGTGTGTGTCACTCACACACACATTCAAGTAACTGAAGTGGAGGGGCTATTTTGTTCTTGTAAATGATTTACCACCTGCTGGTATTCCTGGAGGATGTGTGAGGAAGCACACAGTCCGCTGTACCGGCAAGCAGACAGGTTTTAGGAGTAAGAAGACCTATGGGGCCTTGGGTCAGCTCCTGACTAGCCAGGCTCTTCAGCAAATTACTAACCCTTCCTGGGATTTCATAACCTTCTTCAGAAAATAGGAAGGGCAAATAACGGCACCTGCAAGTCCAATACCCCTTGTTTCCTTTTCTACTCAAAATCACGGCATCAGAAATTACATCCTGGGGTGTTTGTTTTTGGTTTTTTTTCATGCTTTTTACTGTGAATTGGGGACTGTTCTACATCAGTTTCACAGTCAATAATTTAAACACATTTTGTTTCAACTCATACACTGTCAGTTCTTACACCGCCGTTCTACTGGATTTTAAAGAGATGAAATCACAGTGCCATCGAGCCAATTCGGATTCCTGGTGACCCTGTGTACTACAGAGCAGAACTGCTCTACTGGGGTTTCTTGGCTGTCATCTTCATGGCAGTAGATCACCTGGCCTTTCCTCCACAGCACCAGCGGCTGGTTAGAAACCAATCCCAACCCACGTGAACCAGCCAGGGACCTTTCTACTGAATACAACATGGATAAAGATAAGCCCCAAGAACTTAATGCCCCCAAATCATTACATGAGTCTTTGGAAAACAGAAAGGGCCACACCCAGGTCTGCATGTCCTTGCTCACTTAGTCTCCATGCCCTGGGTCAGTAGGCCAACCTCTTTGGCTGTGGCCTGCCTCTCTGGAGCGAGAAGCCAGTTATACACAAAGTAGCCGACCTGCGGAAAAGAAAACTCAGAGATAGCATTATCCCTGCCCACACTGAGCCACGGGATCCTCCAGTGACGGTCGCCCTCCAAAAACAAGCTGGCCTTTACCTCTCTATGAAGGCTTCTCAGAGCCCTGCCTTCCTGTCCCCAGAGGGGACTGACTGCTCCTTCCTCTGAACTCAGAGCACTTCTTGTTTACACCATTCATTTGGCACTTAATTACACACTGACGTGTTGTTGAAGGTCTTACTCAACTATTTATTTTCTCTATGAATACTGAACTTCCACACATGCTTGTATCTTATCTCCTTCTGCATTATAAAACAGGGCTCTCATGACACCTATAGTGCCTAATACAGAATCAATAGGTTACTAATGAAAGAATGCTTAAGGAAAAATCATTCAAAAGTTCAAGTGGCCCTTGGAATCGCTACATAACTTTGGAATAAAAATCTAGATCGATGGATGGATACACACACACACACTGTTCAACCTATGTATATACCAGCAGGAAGGAAAGAAGAGAAAGCCATGCTTAGCTATTTGAAAGTTCAATTCCCAACCAACCCACCTATTTCCAATGAGTCTATTCCAACTCATAGCAACCCTTTACAGGGTTTCTGAGGAAAACTGCCTCATCTTTCTCCCAAGCAAGTTCACCATATTCGATATTAAAGAATAAGAAACACCTAACATCGCTAACTTATAGTCTAAATTTCAGAGAACATTTTTATTGATAAATCAATTATCCTTTCTTAAACAAAATCTCCTAAAAGTGCTATACAAAGTTCTATCAAATAGAAAAAATATCAAAGGAGGGCTTAGAAGGTCCAAGCAATCTTCAAGTTACAAACAACTTGTGTACAACCCCAAGTTATGAACCACCCCCGTAAAGCCTATTATGGTTCTATGCCGTAAAACACATATCATTGTAATTACTACTGCATTGCCATGGTAAAAATGTTTTCATCCACCTGGAATTTTCTTTAATGTTTTTAGTGCACAGAAAGGCACACTATATACTCCGTTGAACACCTGACTGACATTAGGGACAAACCATGACAAAATGTTCTGACATACGTACACATTCTACCTACAGGCAGATTCAGGAACGGAATTCATTTGTGATCCTGAAGCTGCCTGTAAAACCAAAGCCAGCTGCTTTTTTCAAAAAGGTCATCCAACGTTCAAAAAGATAACATGTCTCACTTGTTAGTTGTTCAGATTAAAGCATCTTTATAACCTGCTCCATGAGTTATAACAACATTATCATCAACTTTGTACTCCATGAGCACTTACATATCGAGTGCTCCCACAGCAAAGGGAGCCGTGCCTCGGAGAGAATGCAATCAGCTCTCAGATCCCACAGCAACGGCCATTTGGCTCCATAATCTACTGCCATCGAGTCGATTATCCTAAAGGTCCTACAGGGCAGATCGGACAACCCCATCTTTCTCCTGCAGAGTGGCTGGTGGGTCCCTGACCCTGCAGTCAGCAGTCCAACACTCAGTCCACTGAGCCCCTAGGACTCCTTTGGCTTCATAAGGTGACTTGTAATTTCATTTTTCTACAGGCCTCCTTTAACTATTTTGTATATGAGCCAGTATTGAAGCACGCTTGCTCAGTTTAAGCACAAGTCAACTAGGGGTGAATAGGAATAGACAGCAGGGCAGAGAAAGAAGGGAGGAGAGAACAAAACAAAGAAAAAGGATTGAAATGTTCTCACAAGTAAACCACAAAATAGATGCTTCTTAGGGAACAACTGAAAGTTTGTTTAGGATTCTTGCTAAAAGACAAAAATCCTTTCCACAGATTATCAGAGAGTTACATTAAACACACACCATATTCTCGGGCCTATGAGTCAGAAGACAACACAATATAAGAAAGAATGGAGGCCAGAACAAGGGTAGAAACGTGAGAGAGAAACAGATGCAGGATAAGATTTAGAACAAAGTGGCAAGTGGAAATTAAATACAAGTGTATGACTCTGGTGGCATCATCTCACAGGAGCCCAGAGTGAGCCTCGATTACTAGTAACAGCATTAACACACCTACCTGCGCCTACCGTCTTCTGGAACCACTCCGTACTATCAAGCTCCAGTGAAAAATACAAGCAACCTACAATGCAGTGTAATGGTTTAGCCACACATAATCAAATTAACATAATCCAATAAAAGTTCAATTGTATCTTCAGCATTCGGTTGTCATGTAGATCTAAGGTTTAGCGCTGGATTTAAAATACTGTACTTAAACTGACACATGATCTTGTTCCCTTTAATCCTGATAACCGTGGCATCAGTTAGAATATGACTGTTTTTTCACAGCTCATGTAACAGGTGCAATCATATATATGCAAATCACTTTGAAGATAGCTTTAAAAATCCATGCTTTATGTTTAAGTGAGTTGCACAATTTCCAAGAGTTCACAAATATCCACATGGCTATCTATTCAAAAAAGTCCAATGTAAATGCATAGGACACAACACCATCTTTCATCTGGGCTTTATTTACTATAACAGGAAAGGTTATGCGATTTCTTTTTTATTTTATTTTATTGAGGGCTCTTACAGCTCTTATCACAATCCATACATATCTCCATTGTGTTAAACACATCTGTACATATGTTGTCATCATCTTTTTCAAAACATTTTCTTTCTACTTGAGCCCCTGGCATCAGCTCATTTTTTTCCCCTCCTTCTTCCACCTTTCCTCCCTCATGTCCCCTTAATAATTTTTTTTTTCGTGTCTTACATTGACCGCTGTCTCATTTCACCCACTCTTCTGCTGTCCGTCCCCCTGGCAGGGAGCCATACATAGATCATTGTGATCGGTTCCCCCTGAACTCCTACCTTTACTCTCCTAGTATTGCTGCTCCCCTTATTGGAGATTATAGGATTTCTGATACTACATATATGTCTACCCTTATTATGAAAGGCTACATATTTAGGAATGGGAAGGTGTTATTAACTAACAATGATATGAGAGTATACAAAAAAAAAACAACAGAAAAAAACTCCGCTGGACAGAAGGAGCTTTCATACTATGGATTTTCCCCCACTAGGAAAATGGAGAACTCAGCCAACTCACTCTGAGTGAGTGCACCCAGTGACATCACCTGGGAAGCTTCTCTCTGGTCACAGTGAATTTTTTCAAAAAAGCAATTTCACTCAACCTCATTTTTTGTAATGACCGATTTAAGAGAACAGCAACTTTTGTTTCATGCTTCAGAAAAATGCCACAGAAACTGTTGTGATGTTGAACACAGCTTACACGGGCAGTGCTATGGGAAAAACTCAAGTGTATGGGTGGGTTTTCTCATTTCAAAAAAAGTGAAATGTCAATTAATGACAAACCTCATTTTGGATGTCCATCAACTTTCTGAAGGGATGAAATGTTGACCCATAGTACATCTGGTGCTTGTTCCACCAGGTCAGACTGTTAATCAAGCTTTCTATGTAGAGGTTCCAAAGAGAATACATAACAGTGTGTAACAAAAACATGCCTGATTTGTGGCAGACCGGGGAATGGTTTTGCCACCACAACAATGCAGCCAGCTCAATGCACCAGTGTTTGCCAAAAAACAGCATGCTTCTCTTGTCCCACGCACCTTACTCACCTGACCTTATTCCTTGAAACTGTTTATGTTTCCGTGCATGCAGAGGGACATGAAAGGATGGCAATTTGATGACGTAGGAGAGGTGAAGAAAGTAATGAGAGGTGTTGTCAGCCATCCAACCAGGTGAATTTGAAAATTATTTCCAAGAATGGAACTGCAGACTTGACACATGTATTACATGTAATGGAGAGGGCTTTG